ATTATCCAATAATATTTTTCCCATGTGATGAGATGATCTACAAAAATCAGCCAATTACAATGAAAGCCCGCTATGCTAGTCAAACCTAAGTTTGACTATATGAGTCGTCAATAAAACGCATATGTCAGATTTAAAAAACTATTATAATAATACGTAGCATTTAAATCGATAATAAAACAAGGAATTTAACTTATTACACCATCACATTAAACAATGCTTTATAGAATACGCAATATAAAAATTCTGTATAATCAAAACCAAACTCTTCGTTTCACAAATAGTGATAATCAGTGTTAGAAATCTTTTTAAGATTTATGTTTCATGAGAACTTATTTATTTAGTTTAAAATGTTCTCATAAATTTATTTATGTTAGCAACTGTAAAAATTATTTATATTCCAACCTTTTTATTCGTTATTTCGGAAAATATTGGACTTTGAATCAAATTTTTATCCCAACCATTCTTGTCTTTTATGTTCGTTCATTTTCTTTTCAGATCATTTCAAAACTTCGCTCGATTTCTAATTTTAATTCCACATGACATTATGACATTTTACTTATATAGAGAACATATTTTCGAATATAATGTTCTTGAATTTTTTTTCCATAGATCATTTACTGAATATCAAATGTTACCGAATCTATGGGTATGTTCTTATGAACATGAGAACATAAGTTTTCCAACACTGATGATGTTGAGATTGAAGTAAATTACTATCAATTTTTGAGCAAATTCAGTGCAAAAAAAATAATAAAAAATATTAACCTGACTGTTTTTATTCACTAATTAAAAAAAAAAATTTTTTCCGTACATTATGACCTATCAAGACACTTGGAAACACTATCGCTTACTAAACACTAAAGACCAGTGTACGTAATAGGTGAGATATAATGCAATAAATAACCATTAGCTAAGCTACCATAATCAAATTGGCCCGATCAGCGGCAGGGGGCTAACTATTTCCATAAAGTGGATAAACAAAAGTTGCATTTTTTTCGTGTATTCAGAGTTACCTTTTTTGATATATTCATTTAAATAATTATTTAGGTTATTAAAAACAGAATTATGCATTATGTAGATTTAATCTAACTTTTTTGCTTAGTGGCGTAAATTTTATCTAAGACCAGTACGTATAACATAAAGTTAAAGCAAAGAGACGCTTATATCCTTAAACCTAACTATAATTCTGATTCATAAAAAGTGTTTTTTAACCCTAATATTTGTTAAATTTATGTAGTCCTATTAATTTATCCATGATTTTCTGGTTGTACTTAATAAGACTGGCTCGATCAGTTGAGATAGCTTTAATTACGTAAGGAACCAACTATGTATCTTTGTGTTCTGCCTATGTAAGAAACTGTTTCATTCTAATGTCACGCAAATTTTGTTAAACGGATTATTATTTTCAAACTCTCATCGACCGTAGAATAACCGCCTCTACATATCCTAATTAATATAATAATATGGTAGATGAAATAGACAAAATAGACATGAGAGAGATGGCCTATAATTATGATTGGTCATCGACATCTCTCGGTACTATGGACACCTGGGAACCTTTGCTTAAGACTGCTGTGGTAATTTTATAATAATTCTTAACTTTAATGCACGAGAGTTTACATGAATAGTCATGCATGAATTCTTTAGGATTTCTGCCTAGATTCAAGATTTCCTTTCGCAATTTACTGTGGTCCAGATCTAATTTTCATATATAATAAAGGCAAATATTTTAATTTCATTTTTCTTATTGTTTTGTTGCAAGTTTAATGGGAATTCAATTATATTCATTCATATAGCGATGGTACCGATCATAAGAGAGAACCATCCATCTGGTTAGTCATGATTTCATAAATAAATAGGGGTGAATCAATAGAACAAGCAAAATTTTTTATAACTTTATAACTTAACAAAAACTTAACTAAATTTTAAAAAACTTTCAATTAAATTCAGTCTTTACTTGAAATTTTAAAAAATTTTATTAAAAGATATATTTGCTTGATTTTCTATTGATTCAACCTTATCGTTTAGCACTGTATAAAACATCCCCTTCGAATAATATCCTACCACATGAAGTACCTTTCTTCACCAATGAAATTGCCGAATTTGTGAATAGTGCCCGGTACTATTCAATTCTAAAAGGTGATCTTGAATAAGACCCCGAGTAGTGCTAAACGATAAATGTTTTTAATGAAACGAAATTATTTGAAATTTTGAAAATTTAATTAAACAAAATAACATATAGCATTTGGAAAACCGATCTCTGAAACTTATCCTATTTGTCCTGCAATTACGTTTCATGAGCAGTAAGTAACATTAAAGTCTAATGTTTTTTTTGTTACAGAATAAATATCTAATCTAAATAAATACATATATAAGAATAAAATCAACAGGAAAGGCTGATGGCGAATATTGTCTCGAAACATATATTCCAGTTTATCGAAAAAATTATAACGAAGAAAGCTATTTTAGCTATTCAATGAGCGCAATTTATAAAGAGGATGGTTCATTTTTGGCGATATTGAATTTGTCAGAAGATACAACACGCAAAACCTTAACCAATAGAAGACTAAAGTGTCTTAATGATTTAGGAAATCGTATTAGGGGTTAGTTAACATTCCTTGTTCATTAATTAAAAGTGATTTAATAATGTAACGCGTTTGTATTTATATTATCCTCGAAGATGCTGAATCTTTGAAGAACGGCAGCCATATTATAATGAATACATTACACGAAAACAATAAAGACATTCCTTTTGCATTAATTTATCTTATCGATGGCAATGAATCAGGCACCAGTTTTGAACCACATATTGCTTATCTAACCGCAACAACTTTTGATAACGATTCTAAAGTGAATGATAAGTCAAAAAGATGCATACCTGATAATTTATTAGAAACACCAGAAATAGTTAATCTGACTAAAAATTCTGATGAAAATTACGATACATATATAGAAATAATACGAAACACTACAATTCATTCATTCTTAAAATGTAAATCTTGGCCAATTGATCTTGTAATAAGGGAAGACAAACATGTAAAGGTTGTCTTAAATGATGAATCACAAGCAGTACTATTTCCCGTTAAAATTCTGTCTGCTGAAAGAAAAATTTTAAAAGCTATATTAATTTGTGGTATTAATCCGTCTCGCCCACTAGATGAAGAATATATGGAATTTTTACAAGTATGCTTGCATAGTTCATAGTTCATTCTTATTAAATTCTTTATTTACTTATTCGTAAATATTTCATTTAAATATTTTATTTGTTTAGTTAGTCGTAAATCACGTCAGTTCAATCTTAGCACAAGGCAAATTAAGAGAAGAAGAAAAAAAAAACGGATAGAGATGCTAGCTGATCTAAATCGTCAAAAAATCATGTTTTTCCAAAATATCAGCCACGAATTACGAAGTATCGATCAATTTTTACTAGATATATGTTGCATTATCTTTGAAACTAAATTCCTTTAATTTCAATATTTTTAGCACCATTAACTTTAATGCTTTCTCCACTTGAAGAAACAATTAATTTATGCACTGAAGAAGAAATAATACATTCACATCTTCAGATTGTTCAACGTAGCACTCGTAGATTGCTCAAACTTGTAAACAATTTACTTCAAGTAAGTACCACATATTTAAAGATAAAAACTGGCAGTTGTATATACATATAAGCAGCGAAAATAATGATATTTATACATTATTACCTACGAATCCAACTTGAGATAGCGTTTAATATCTATTTATTAGAGAAACTGCCTTGAATTCTTAAGTTATAAAAATCTATTAAAAATGGTTTCACAATTTTGTAGGCCTCAAACATTGAATCTGGTCAATTAAAAGTGCAATTTCGTAAAACTAATATAGCAAAACTTACCCAAGAATTGGCGGATAATTTTAATAACATGGCTAGCAAGCTAAATTTAAATTATGTTATAGATGTTCCAAACCAGAATGAAATTGATCAAGCTTTAAAAAATAAAGTTTATTTGGATCGTGAATTATATGAAACAATTATTTATAATCTTTGTAAGTACATAAAATCAACCGTTTACTTTAAAACCTACTGTGAATAGAATTTTATTATACAGTATTAAAATTCCACCCTTTTTAAAGGTTCAAATGCATTTAAACATACATGGAGTGGATATGTCAAAGTTCATTTATATATTGATCGTGAGAATGAAAAAGATACAATAGTTCTTAAAGTATCTGATACGGGTTAGTATAATTATTAGTTATGCTTATGATCATGCTCTAACATACAGTATAAATACAGAGTTCATTTTCTAAATTAGGTGTTGGTATAGCGGAAACTGATCTTGAAAATCTATTCCAACGTTTTTATCGTGTGGAATCTCAGCAATCTCGTAGTCATGAAGGTACTGGAATTGGTCTCGCTCTTGTAAAGGATCTTATTACAATTCATGGAGGAAATATTACAGTGACCTCAAAAGTTGGCCAAGGGACAACATTCAAATGTCAGTTTCTTACAGGATATGAACATTTACCGATTAATCAAGTTTGCCTTGATGAAGAAGATGATGCATTAAATAATGATCAACAATTAAGTTTAAATCAGCAATTATATTTAGAAGATTTGCGATGGATTCAAAATAATGAATTTACAATTAGAGAATATGAATCTAGGGATATTATTAACATGGATATTGAAAAAATATTTTTGGGTACGAATGTATCTCCAAGAACTACGAAGAATACTGTTTTGATTGTCGAAGATAACATTGATATGAGGTGAATATTCATCTTTATTAGCTAGCCATTTAAGATTTAATTTAAAATATTACAAGTCATTATAAATTAAATTTCTAATTATTCACTATTTACACAGAAATTATATCGAGGGATTGTTAAAAAAAGAATTTAACGTGTATAGTGCTTGTGATGGTCACGACGCTTGGTTACTTTTAACAAGTTTACCTAACCCGCCTGATTTAATACTTAGTGGTAAACAATTGTCTTTTTATTACAGCATTAATAATTGTTAATAATTATATTAAGTATTTGTTGACTAATAGATATTATGATGCCAAATATGAACGGGTATGAACTATTAAGTAAATTAAGATCTAATACAAAGACAAAATTAGTCCCGGTAATTTTATTGACTGCAAAGGCCGGAGAAATGTCTAGTATTAAAGGTACTTATATTATGTTTATTATTTACTTTAACAAATTCTTTCATTTATTAACTCTATATTATTATATACAATTTCTTAGGGCTTGATGATGGAGCAAATGATTATATAGTAAAACCGTTTAATTCTCGACAATTAATTGCTCGTATACATACAAATATTAAACTTTCACGGTTTCGTTATCAAATAATATCTCATCGGTGTAAACAAGAAGAAGTAAAACAATTGTTGATTTCAATTTCAAATACTATTCTTTCTGAATTAAATTTAAAAACTGCCCTTTCAAAAATTGTTAAAGAAGTTCATCAAATAATATCATGTGATAGAATATTTATTGTATTAAGTGAATTATCAGAAGTTCAAAATCGTGCAATGATTGCTTTATCTGAAGACCCGGAGGTTAATAGGTACGTAGAGTTTTTATTAATAGTTTGAAAATTATGTAATTTAGATAAATTACAAGAACCTAATGCAATATATAATTGATCAAATAAAGTGAAAATCATGCAATAAGCGATTTAATATCTATCGATCAAATTCTGGGAATTAGTGATCCAACCTACTTAACTTCCGAAAACTCTGATACACCGGACGATTATTCTACTAAAGTAGAGGTTTCGCAGAATACATATTGTATAGATACTAGTAGACAAGTGTCTATGCTATCTGCAAGGATAATAGATAATAATAAATATTTAGGATGGATAAAAGTACATAGATCACCAGATATTATTTGGGATGACGCAGAAATCGAATTATTTCAACAAATATCAAATCAAGTAAATATAACTACAAATAGTGTAAAATTATTGAGAGAAAAGATGATGAAAGAAGCACACATAAGAGCGATTCAAGATGCAAATGCTATTAAGACTCAAATATTAGCTAATACTTCACATGGTATGAGATTTAGAGTTATTTTTCACTGATTATATTTTTTATTTAATAATTTTATATTTGCTAGAATTACGAACCCCACTAGGTGCGATAATAGGGGTTCTTTCTTCCATTAAGGATGATATATTTAGTGCTGAACAAAAAGATATGATCGATATCATGGTACATTCTTCTGATACTGCATTATCTATGGTCAATAATATCCTTAATGCTGCAAAATTAGAGGCGCATAAAATCACATTAGACAATAAGACCTTTGATTTATTTGATCTACTAGAAAGTACAATTGAGATATTTGGAGAAAATGCCGGAAATAAACAAATTGAATTAATTCTAAGTTATGATACGAATGCATTACCGAAACTTGTTAAAAGCGATCCTGAAAGGTAATGTTTTATTTTGAAAAAAATAATACATTGAAAATTTTTAATTCTTGAAAGTCTTTATTCGTCTATTTTATAGGTTGAAACAAATTTTAATGCATTTGCTATCAAATTCGTAAGTATAATTTTGGCTTCTAAAGTTAATATTATTCATAATATCATATTCTATATTAAGACTATTTGATTTAATTCAGTGTCAAATTTATTAATGAGGGTGAAATTATAATGAAGATTTTCGTGAAATCATGGGACGCTGCAGATGAAAACTCGGAAAATGAAAAAAATAGCCAATTAGTTAATAAAGTAAAATTACTGGTTGAAGTAAGTGATACTGGTTTTGGGTAAGTAATCTAATAAGTATTGTATTTGATAATAATATTAGGATTAGTATTACTTTTATAACACAAAATTATATGCATTTATAATAGGATTAATTCTGAGTTTATGCAATATATCTGGGAAAGCTATTCAAGATTCGACACATCAATAATTAGACACCATGAAGGTACGGGGCTTGGTCTATCAATAAGCAAGCAATTGGTAGAAATTAATAATGGTGAAATCGGAGCAGAAAGTAAATTAGGAGAAGGAAGTAAATTTTGGTTTACGTGGAATATTGAATCATTACCAATTCCATGTGTAACAAAAATTTTAAAAGATGTTGATTCATCACAAATATCATTAGATGAAACAATTAATCATATTTTACCATCTCATATCAAATTAAACCGCATATTATTAATTCACCCATTTGAAAGTGCGAGGAATTCAATAACGAATTTTCTTAAAAACTTTGAAAGAGTTGGTGTATTTGATACCTGTGATAAAGGAATTCAAGCAGCAAAATATCATAAAGGATTATATAATCAAGCTGCTTATGATATAGCATTCATCAATCTTTATGAAAAAGAAGCAGAAGAAATTACAAATGCTGCATTGGAGCTAAGAAAAATAAATGGCGATAATTTATTTATTGTTTTTATGATATATGCACGTACAAGTGAAAAAGTTTTAGCAAAAAAATTAATTGATACAATTGGAGGACAATCTACAAGAATTTTTAAGCCAATCACGTATAAAAAATTAATAAATCAATGTTTGCGTCATAATAATTTAGAAAAAGGTTTTGATAACCCTATCAGCTATAATACTAAATATATCATCGTTAATAA